TATGATTAAGGATGTGACACATCTCAAAGCATTACCAGAAATATGAAATATTACGTTTACCCGATATCCTTGATATCGAATTTAATAATATCCGTAGTCACGAAACTGTCCAATCGCAATCATTCCATTTTTCAGAGGAAAGTGGTTGCCCAGTTTCATAATCATGGATGTTATTAAACCTGATTAACCCGGTGCCGTGTAAATGTAGTCGTAATTTTATAAATTATTCTATTCATATGTGTCAGAGTATTTGTGGAAAATTTTTTTATCACAAATCTTTTATTGGTTTAAAAGTTATTTATTTTTTTGTTTGCCTTAATTATTACATATTTGTTATATATGATAAAACTCGAATAAATATTTGTGCAAAAGTTTATTTGGATCCATTTACTCGTTTAAAAATTATTTACGTAAAATTCCAGTAAAATATGGTCATTTCGGTGGATTATAAGCTAAATTATTTATTGTTTTGTTCTTTAAAGTTGATTTTAAAGTGCATTTATGACATTTTTTTTACTAATATTGGTTTTTATTTAATTTTTTAGCTGTTTTTAATTGATATTGTATAGTCAAAACATCCTTAAAGCTTTGTACATTTACGAAAATTGTAAATATAAAACAAATAAATTGTGTAAAGATTTTAATACAATAATTCTTTGTGAAAAAAATAAGAAATGTAGAACACTTTATGATTGCATAGTTTGCATTGATTTGCAAGAAAAATATTTTTCCATTAAGGTAAAAAATTTATAAACAGGTCAGTGTCTTCTATAGCTTCATACATATATGTATATTTGACTGTAATATATGGAATAAAGCTTATCACTTATAAGGTGTATGTTACGAATTCTGGATAATTGAATTTTTATATAACGTGATAATTTTCTGTCGTATATAGCATCACTAATCATCTCTTCAATTTTCGAGTAGGTATTCGATACCTTAACCAAATTGTTTCTCGAGATATGTCCCAACGTTGTGGTTGAAATCATATCAATTATGTATCGTACTGTCGACACCCAGACGTCGGAAATCATAAATTATCCAGTAGATAGGGATGCTGAACGAGAAGGCGAACTTGGTTAACGATACCCCGGTGAACCTTACCAGGAAATCGACAGATTACCGCGTCATTGCGTTACCGTCGTCAATTATATACATATGTGATGAATTTCCACTTCAAATATCATCGTAATCTAAAATCGATATTAAATACAAGAAATCTAAAGAAGTAATTAAAAACGTTAAATTTAATAAACCGTTTAATTTCGTCGAATGTATATTTTTCTATATAATGTTGATTTGACGATTAATATGAACAACCGCCAAGATAGACGACGCGTTGAGAAATAATCGCGCTATAATCGTGATGAGTAAAAGGCTTTATTACGCAAAGCGCGGAAACCGTGACGGTGCATGTTAATCATGAGTCAGGTTAATCGAGGCCGGTATGAGACTGAGATGGAGCGAGCCAATATCACCTGCGGCCTTCTGGCACGTTTACCTAACACTTTCGGTACGCTTATCAACACTTTCGGTTGCCACCATTTTCCGTTATTAGGAAATTTAGGAAACTTTGAATATGTCCTCCTTTCGATGCTTCTCTCTCTCTCTCTCTCTCTCTCTCTCTTCGTTTTGTAACGCTTTGGAGCTACCGTAAAAATCTGTAACACAGTTAATAATGCTGGCTCTGTAAGATGCATTTAATTTACGTTAATTAAAAAACATTAATTAATTTCAAGGAATCAAAAAAACATAACAGCTCATAAAAAAAGAAATAAATACGTTTGAATCAGAACAATTTAAATTTGCATAGATGTAACATAACAAAATTAAATTGTTTGACATATTTTTCACAAAGAGATTTATAATTGAGTGAATAGCTCTGCTATCTGCTCTAATTATTATTAACAGTGGAACTCTTATTATGAGAGAAGAAAAATGGGAAATATCTTAATGGGATGGAAGTTAAAGTCAAACAAGCAATTGAAAGGGTATATATATATATATTATATATATAGTCAATAAGGTATATGTGTACCTTGAATCTTTTTTTCTTATGTATAATCAGATCGAGGAGACACGATGTGAATAATTTCTCAGGTCACGCTCGACCGCGACCGACTCTCCACTCCGGTTTCCCTCTCATTGTGTGTCCCGCGCTTATTCCTACTCGCCGAGCGACCTCCTCGCGGTCTACTCCTTTATCTTCCTTGAACGTCTATACCGGCGCGACGCGATGCGTGCGTAGGCCGTGCGACCGGAAGCCTCCGTCACGGCTCGTCGAGCCACCGTTTCGTGGACTTCGCCGTGGAAGAAGACGATACACGCTCGCATGTGAATCATTCGTTCAAGTGGCGTGCCATCCTGCGGCTAGAGATGAAAAACCAGATAGGAAACGCTCGCTGAAAAATCCTGGGATTCTACAGAGATTCCGAGGGATACCCGTGAAATATTTAACGTTTTGTTTTTCGAATCCGTATAGGTTGTTTAACTCGTTAATACCAATCCTGGTGATTCTGGAAAATTTTTTCATTCTTACACAGTAACGTTTCGCAAGAATTTTATTTATTATTATAGCTTATTTTTTAGTTTTGAATTTAAACCATGACTAATAACAAAAGTTTAATTGCCAATCGTAATAGTGGGAGAAGGAGAAGCTCAACATGAACGCAAAAATCATGAAACATATATCTATTATGTGTAAAAACTTGAAAATGTTTAAATAAATAGCTTTCTTAAAAAAAAAATCCTAAAAACATCTTATTTTTTTCGACTTATAGATGAGAAGTCGAGAAATAAGATATTTTTTTTTAAGAAATTTTTTAAAAGAAAGTTATTTATTCAAATATCCCTCTTTTCCCTGAATAATTGCGAAATTGGTTTTATTTAATTCAGTTAAGTTGTTATACCGGCTATAAAGAATGTTACGTTGCGAAGATGGGAAACGTCGGGCATGCTGGATGCGACCCGCACGTATCAGCGGATGCGATCGCGTCCGGTGTCGCGTATGGTGTCGTGTCTCCCATGGTACCTGAATGATTAGAGCCTCCTTGGTTCTTCGTCACGCATTTAGCATCACGATCGTTCTAATTACGCTCTATCACGTTGGTTCGGGGTCTCCGGGATTCAGGTTCTTCGACCACACGTGCATTAACGATAGAAACCGCCTGAGATAATCCGAGACTCGATTCGCACGACCATGTTTCACGCTCTCTCGGCGTGTTCAGCGCCATGGGTACGTTGATATAGTATGCCGCGTGGACTCATTCTATTAGATTTGTGTCCTTAATATTATCATTGTAGTCGGTGTTACGGTAGAGCAACCGAGATTTATCCCAGGAATGTTTCTCGCGGTTAAAATGCGTGCGTACCCGCGCATTTGCATAATATCCATAATACCAGCCGTGTAAACTCGTTATTATTACGCGTGCCTGTCTCCTTCATCACTAGCGACACCGCGAATTACCAATTATCTCTGGCATTCAATCAGAAAGAGTAAAAAGTCACACGATCGATAATCGATTAAATTTTAACGTTCCTAATTGCGCGACGGGATCGAACGCTAACCAGCAGTCCGACCTACATCCGAGATGATCGCGATCCTCGTCGCGTTGAGCGTAGCCTTAGAGGTAATTTGCAATCGTGTCGGCGCGCCAGCATATTTTGGATTAACGCCCTAATAACGGATGATATCTCGGCCCAGTGGGATACCGTCCGCACAAACTTAGACGTACCTACTTGAGGAAGTTCGAAGGGTCGTAAGAGGATATACCGGCTTTGGTGCCGGAACCGGCTGGCACGCTGTCGCCGTCGTCGTCATCGTCGTCGTCGCCGTCGCCGTCGCTGTCGTCGTCGCCGTCGTCACCGTCGTCGTCGTCGTCGTTGTCGTCGTCGTCGTCGTCGTCG